AGTGAATCTAAAACTTTCGTTTGATATGTAATGAGCAAGAGATTTGAAAACCAAAACTACTTTAGAAAAATTAATTATGTTTTATTTGGGAATTGTTTTATATGGATTCAAGATTCCATTAGGATCAAATAATTTTTTTAGATCCTTCATCATACTCACAACTTCTGTTTTCTTACTGTAACCAATAAAATTCTTCTTCTTAAAGCCAAGACCATGCTCAGCACTGACACTTCCCCTATTTTTTTCTATAACTTCGTAAAGGTATGGTTCAATTAAATCTAAAATTTTCATGCTTAGTTCTGGTGCAGTAACATTCAAATGCAGGTTGCCATCACCAACATGACCATACCCAACAACACGCTTTGAAACACCTTTCATTCGCTCTCTCATATCTTGCACGACGTTGTAGAAGACGTCAAGTGGAAGGGATATGTCGTACTTGTAAACAGCCCCGTCATGCATCAGTGCTTCAGAGATACGTTCTCGTAATGCCCATAGACTCTGTTAAATGTATGAAAAGTTAAACTTGGTAATTAAAGAGAAAAAACCAAAGAGATTCCTAGATATATCTACTGTATACCTAAAATAAGCGGGCCTTGCATATCTCTGGCTAGTGTCCCTTATCTGTATATGTGTGACATCCTTGGCTAGTGTCCCTTATCTGTATTTGTGTGACATCTTTGGCTTGTGTCCCTTATCTGTATTTGTGTGACATCCTTGGCTAGTGTCCCTTATCTGTATGTAATATTATAATGATTGTCGACTTATATAGCGCATATTGTAGACTAACCTCTATGTGCTTTACATTATTACCCCCGGTCACTGGATCAAGCACATGGAACACAACACTCATGCCCCATAATGTGTTTGAACCTACCAGGTACCCACTTGTACTCCTGGGTGGAGAGAAACAACCATAGATAAAGTGCCCTGCCCAAAGACAAAAGCAACATGCACAGCGAGAGTTTCAAACCCCCGACCTCAAGATTGGGAGTCCAAGTCACAACCGATGCGCCAACCATTTCTACATATGTGTGTGACATCCTTGGCTGGTGTCCCTTATCTATTGCACGACATCCTTAGTGTCCCTTATACGTATTTGTGTGACATCCTTGGCTAGTGTCCCTTACCTGTATTTGTGTAACATCCATGGCTAGTGTGCCATTCTCTACTGTTCCATCTGACATAATAACTTCCAATAAATGATTCAGTTTCTCTTGGTCATGAGACTCATTTGATCCTGAAGTCTCTATCAGAACATAAAATGGATAATTGCCAACAGGGTTGCTCAGCCCCAGGTACTTGGTTACTATCTGTTGAAATACATACGCATACTATTACTACTACAAAAATAAATAGTATCCCAACACCAAAGATACTGTAGGTAAGTAAGTAAGGATTCTGTTGAAATACAAAGGTAGGCATTCAAATTACGACAAAACTAACTAAAAAGTATCCCAACCTGAGCTACCAAATATAGGTAAATAGGGTTTCTGTTGAGACAAAACTAATAGAATTTGTGATAACTAAAATGTTTAACAACCCAAGGTATTCAGTTACTAAAGTTATGGAAGTAGGTACAGTAGGCTATCTATAAAAAGTTGGCATACTATGAAGTAAAAACAAATAGAATCTACAAAATTGCAGACTATCCCAACTGAGAATCAAATATTGAATATGGAGTACTGTCGCTAATTGAAGAACACACGCAATATGTGGTCTATTGTGAGCTGTATATTTTGACATCATGTTATCTTGACAACAAATTTTGAGCCAGCCACTCAATGTGTTGAATCCAACTTCGCTCCCTGTGAGCGCTAGATGACGCGACACCGTCTGCTGATTGTCACTGGCAGTCTGAACGGATCGACATTAAAAACGATCCATTGCACACGCGTCATGACATTGCATTCTGTTACACACACATCATGGCATTGCATTCTCAATGGATCGACATTAAAAAGGATCCGTTGCACACGCGTCATGACATTGCATTCTGTTACACACATCATGGCATTGCATTCTCAGCGGATCAACATTAAAAACGATCCATTGCACATGCATCTTGGCATTGCATTCTGTTACACACATCATGGCATTGCATTCTCAACGGATCGACATTAAAAACGATCCATTGCACATACGTCATGGCACTGCATTCTGTTACACACATCATGGCATTGCATTCTCAACGGATCGACATTAAAAACGATCCATTGCACATGCGTCATGGCATTGCATTCTGTTACACACATCATGGCATTGCATTCTCAACGGATCGACATCAAAAACGATCCATTGCACATGCGTCATGGTATTGCATTCTGTTACACACATCATGGCATTGCATTCTCAACGGATCGACATTAAAAACGATCCATTGCACATGCGTCATGGCATTGCATTCTGTTACACACATCATGGCATTGCATTCTCAACGGATCGACATTAAAAACGATCCATTGCACATGCGTCATGGCATTGCATTCTGTTACACACATCATGTCATTGCATTCTCAACGGATCGACATCAAAAACGATCCATTGCACATGCATCATGGCATTGCATTCTGTTACACACATCATGGCATTGCATTCTCAACGGATCGACATTAAAAACGATCCATTGCACATGCGTCATGGCATTGCATTCTGTTACACACATCATGGCATTGCATTCTCAATGGCATTGCATTCTCAACGGATCGACATTAAAAACAATCCATTGCACATGCATCATGGCATTGCATTCTCAACGGATCGACATTAAAAACGATCCATTGCACATGCGTCATGGCATTGCATTCTCCACAGAATTGCATCGGCTGACAGCTGCTGGAAGCGTTGAGTGCTGGCTGTGTTTTAATAATGTTACTTACTGCCATGCATTCATAATCCATGAATTCATAGGCTGATAAAATTTCTCCCAGTAAGTTTTTACTCTTCTGCAATGTTTTCAAAACCTGATCAAATGATGAACAACCTAAAGAAAGCAAATCGTACAAATAATAATAATGTTTGTAAAAGATGATCATTTTCCTTCACTTCCACTCTTGAATCACATAATAACCTGTCTCTTATACACATCTAGATGTGTATAAGAGACAGGAACAACACTCATGCCCCATAATGTTGCAGTTGTAATCAGCGCATGGTTGTGTTTGAACCTACTAGGTACCCACTTGTAGTCCTGGGTTGAGAGAGACAACCGTAAATAAAGTGCCTTGCCCAAGGACATGAGCGACTTGCACAGTGAGCGTTTCGAACCCCCGACCTCAAGGTTGGGAGTCCAAGCCAAAACAGATGCACCAACCACTTCTACTAAACCGCTTAAACCGCTCGGCCATTTACTCAAGCGTTCAAATAATATAACTTAACTTACTAATGATTTGGTAGACATGTGTTGGCTCAAATTGAGCTCCTTATTATTCACCATCTTTGTCATGAGTTTCAGGAGTAGGTAAAGTTTTTTCCTGTTCGGTGGCGGCAGGAGAAGGCAGCAGATCTTCAGACCCTCTACAGTGTATGATTGATCATCTGTCAAACACAAACCTACAAAAGATAACAGTGGATAACATAAAATAAACATAGAATCAACAATGTCAACTAAAATTATTATCATATGTTTTGTGTGTATTATATATATTGGCACATGATACATAAAGCTAAAGAAAATATCCATCAATATATAATGAAAATAGATCTACAGGTATTAAATTCCATATATTACCTGACAGATTTAAATATTAAAAACCAATACAAATTTGATTACCAAAATGTTAGGCAAAAAAACACAAATACGAAATCACTTTTATATTGGCAACAATGAGTGAACTATACATCAGTGTAGGAGACACTCAACAAAGTGTGTATAAAGCACCACATTAATACAGAACATAAACTGTCTCTTATACACATCTTACTGTATAAATTTCTAAACCATGATGTATCATCCATAACATCAAAAAATCTCAGATTGTTGACTACAAACATAAAACAATAAACCTGATCCCAGGAAAAAAAAAGTGGTCCCAGCTTTTGCATGTAAAACAACATTTTGAATTGACAATAATAAATCACCATGCAGATCAGATGAGATGAGAAAGGTGGAGGGAGCACCACTGCTTTCTATCTTTATCTGATGGACTTCAACTTTGTAAGGGATTTTTTCATGTTCAGCATTGGTTGTTTGATCTTGGGCTTTTGTGGGAACAATTCTGCTTCATGCGATGTCGTTGGCAACCTTTTGGCATAAATCTCTGGATATTCTTGCTGGAATTATTATTATTATTATTATTATTATTATTATTATTATTATTATTATTATTATTATTCAAACCTGCACTTTGATCCAGACTGATGATATTGTTCATCAAGGCAGTTGAAAGAATTATTTCATCAAATACTGGAACGCTTCCACCCACTAGTCCTGTATTTCCACCTTGAGGGACCACTGCTAGTTTACGTTCATTGCAGTAAGCAAGTATCTTAGATACTTCCTCTGTTGTTGTTGGTTTCAAAAGCATCTGACCAGAACCTGAACATAAAAAAAGCAAATATTTATTGAATTTCATTCATTATTTTAAAATCAACATAGTAGCATTTTATTAATCAAAAGGTCAAAATCTGCATACCTCTACAGATGTTAAGCCAGTCAGTGTTATATGCCATAAGGTCAGTTGAGTTGGTTACCACTCTTCCAGGTAAAAGTTCTTCAAAATATTTCAAATCAGCTTGAGACAGGACAGCAAAAGGACCACGCTTAAGGCCTGGGTACATCTTCTTAGTTAGCTGCACTTTAGAACTTACTGTTGAGAGCGATGATGATGATAATGATAAAGATCTCAGGAATTTAAAGTTGAATTTAGTTCTCTTTCCATGGCTGCTTCTAATTAAGTATGCAAATTCTGACTCTGATTTGTATATTCTGCTTGTTTGTGTTGCAAGTTGACGTCCTTGTTTTACAACAACAGCAGGGTATAAACATCTACACTTGCATATATAGTTTACAAGTGGGTTTCCTTTAGTACACATCATGCCTTAAAAAGTAATGTATAAAACAAATTAATGGTTGGGTGGATAACCATCATTCATACCAACAAGCAGGGTTTGCATCAAGCCCAATAATTTCATGTGACTCACATGTTTGAATTATGACAATAAAGTTTATCTTCTCTTTAGTTTCCCTAGGCCCCTAAATTAAATTAGATTTTTCCACTTTTTTTTTATAAGAACACTGAGGCTGAAATTGCTTAAAAATTAAGAACAAATTGAGGCTGGGGTAGAATGTATCAAACTAAAAAAAACAAAAACTTATATCTGCACCTTATGTGCAGTAGGTGTGACTATGTAATACCCTCTATAATACAGTACAGTAGGTGTACCTACCTCCCATTTAGGGCCATTTTTTAACCAGGGCCTTTTTTTGTGGGGCCATTTTTTGCTGGGCCTTTACCTCCCAGTACAGTGTATACAGCTGTACAATAATAATTTTCTATGTTTGAGAAGTGTGTAAAATAAGAACAAAATAAGAACATTTTGAGCCTGTAACTGGCCAAAAAATAAGAACACTGAGCCTTGGCAAAATTTTACTGGTTCTTATAAAAAAAAAGTGTATATTCCAAATTACTTGTGGAAAAAAATATCTTGCAGTTGATTTGTGTGAGAATTGAACCGACAACATCCAGATAACAAGCCTGATGTCTTAACTAGACCACTGAGCTTGCGTTTAGTGGCTAGTGATGAATTCGATACCAAGCAGAGGGAGGCCTAGTGCAATGCTATTACAAATACAATGGCGTTTTTTGCACCAGGAGAAATAATGCAAATGAGGGCAAAAACATCTAGGCCTAAGCCTAATATAGGCTGGTACTTCTGGGCTACGCTAGGGCTTGCCTAATAAGAAAGGAATTTAATAATAATATATATATTATTATATGGCGACCTAGGCTACTTCTTCTACATACAGGCCTGCGTAGTACTACTAGGCCTAGGCCTAGGCCTAGCCTATCTAGGCTGCCTTGGTCGTAGCTGATTCAAGGTTATTTTCTTGCCCTATGCCTATCGATAAGTTTCATAAGCTGAAATTCTACCTGATATCACATTTAGTGCAACAGATCTATGGAAATTAAATAAAATAACTTTTCTGTTCTGCACCACTGCACTGCACCACCGCCGTGTATGCACGTAAGTAAGGGGCGTTCACTTGTCTAGTTGATGATGTGACATCACTCCCCAGGCAGCGATTTTTTTTTCCGTACGAAACATTTACATGAAACTCCACTCGGGCTGTCTCGACTGAATCGACCCGAAAATCTCATTTTCCAGAATTCAGGAGGTCAAAAGGTCATCAACAGATAAACGTCTACAAAAAAACTTCTGAGAGAACGCCCGTCTGATTTTTAAAAAATACATTGATGTTACTGTGCTAATACTAATGGGTTGTTTAAAATGACAATATTTGATTGAGCTGCACGAGTAATGAAAAGTGTATTTTAACTTGAGTTACATACTGTGACAATTTTTATTTTTTAGTTAGGTCTGGGTTTTGCATGATTACCTAGGCCTACTAACTACTAAAAATATACGCTTTCTGGGGAAAGCACAAAGAGTAAGGAAAAGCGCGTTTCTTCATCAAATGAAACAGGGTGACAGTTATTTTCAAATTAAGAGAAGAGCTGAGAATAGGCAGGTCTAAAATACTGGATGCCATAAGACCTGCCAAAATGGCAGAGCACCGAATGAATGTAAAAATGAGCTAGTTAATAATATTAGGCATAGTAATCGGCAAGTTCTTGATTACAAGGCTAGACCAAGTTCATTACATGATGCCGAAATAATAATAATAATAAGTATTATTATTATTACCTGTACGTTAAGGGGAACTTGGACAATGGAGGAATTAGAGAACAATTTAAAAAACGACGTTAAGGGGAAATAACACAAAAGAT